GTAATTATAGATTTCAGTCTTTCCAGCTAACTATCTGAGCCTCTACTATCTTAAATTAGGCCCTCATTGTTTTATACTAAGCCAAAGATTGTAATTTCAAACACTTACCAGAAGCAAGTAGGTAATAAGACGCGTGAAGGATGCTGGGCATAAGGGAGTAGACAGTTGGTGGGCTTTGGCACTATGCCCTGTCTTGCAAGGGGGCTGCTGTTTCTCTGTTCCAGGCAGTAATATGGGCTCATATTTGACCAATCTGATTGTTCAAGAAGAACCAGAAATCTGAGTTCTTATGTGAAATCTTCTAATTTCTAAGTCACAGTGCAAACCAAACAAAATATGACCAGAGCCACAGTTTGTAACCCATGACTGTTACTGAGTCCCCCTAACCTGATTTATATTCCTTCCATGTAATCTCCTCCCAGACTTTTTGCCAACCTCCCTGTACCAGCACAATCACGTGAAGTACCAGTCAGATCGGACTTCAGAGGTGGTTATGTAACCCAACTGACATGAGTTTGCTCCTTGGTGACTTACAGATAGAAACTACAGTGGGTGGACTTGTCATACAAAGTAACTATATTTGCAGCAAATAAAGAGATCGTGGGGGAATAACGTCCAAAGCTGTGATTCCCCAGGCAAGAGTGAATGAGTTCCTTTTATTTAGGGTTAGGATGAATATTTAGAAAGGGAACCCTTGTCATCACATGTGAAGCGGGCATAAGGTCACACATGTGCCTCAAGGAAACATGCCTAGACATGCATTATAGGTTATGTTAGTGAGGCTTGTGCTCCTCCTCGGGTGGAGAATTTAGCATTAGAGTGAGGTAGAGGTCACTGTCGGTCACCGCATGGTCCAACTGCGCAGGTATAAGCCAGTGGTTAAGCTCAAACTGGTCTGGGCCTCCGAAGTTCTTCCCCCTGGCAGTCGTTATAGCTTGAGGGGTAGTTTTGGTTTCCATCACTGGATGCTGTGCCCTTTGGCTCCTTTGCCTGAGTGAGGAGATAGCTGGAAAGAACGTAAGGAAAATGTGGGGCAAAGGTGGGTGGGCACATGCAGGTGGGCAGTAAAGGTCAGGTCTTAGGGTCTTGTTGCTGACAGGAGGATTAACTGCATCAAAACAAGGAACATTCTTAGAAGAGTTCTTGCTACTTGGGTAAGCACTGAGTAATGTTGTTTGTTGGCTGTCACTTTTCACTTAGTTAAAAGCCCTAAATGACTCCCATTTGTGCTTAGGATAATTTTTTTTTTCAACGTTTTTTATTTATTTTTGGGACAGAGTGAGACAGAGCATGAACAGGGGAGGGGCAGAGAGAGAGAGAGACACAGAATCGAAAACAGGCTCCAGGCTCTGAGCCATCAGCCCAGAGCCGGACGCGGGGCTCGAACTCACGGACCACGAGATCGTGACCTGGCTGAAGTCGGACGCTTAACCGACTGCGCCACCCAGGCGCCCCCGCTTAGGATAATTTTTAACATGGCAAAAAGGTATTTTATCATGACTTCTAGCTGTCCTTCCCCCTTCATCTCCTGCTATTTCACTGAATATACTCAAGCCATCTGTGTACTCAGGTGTGTCAGTCTTTTTGGTGCCCTTCCACCTCTCCCTCCGCTGCCCTGTCCATCTGACTTGTGAACCCTTACTCCTCCCCACTCACCCCAAGTTGCAGTTCAAGTATCTCCTCCTCTGTTAAACCTCTGACTACTCTTAAACTCTTGCAGAGCCAACTTCTCCCTTCTTTGTGTCCCTGTAAGATCATGAATAGGGCAGGGACTCTATTTTATCCTTCTTCGTATTCTCAGTAATCCGTGCAGTGCTGGCATATAGTGTAAATTTGCAGTAAATGTTAGCTGGAAAGACTACAACTAGTAAAATTTAGTGCTGGGCCTGGAACCCTCACCTGAGTGAATTTCTTGCTCTTCAGGTTATACTGCCCAGAGAAAAGAAGCTGTGGCTGCTGTGTCTTTAGGGACCTGGTATATGCGGTATCCAATCTGTTGTAGCCTGGGGCTTTTTGGTCGCAACTAAATGAGTGTAGAAACAATTGTACACTATAAGGCAATACAGTAGCATTAAGGATACTCTTTCCTCTGATATGTAGTATGTGGCAACTAGGGTGAAACCCCCAGTTAAATAGTATGTTTTGCCAGTCAGGTAAAACAGTTCTGTTTTCCTACTTTAGAAGTTTGATGGTAAATGGTTGGAGACACCACATCTATTTATAGGTAGCCTGAGTGCCAGATTTGTTATCTCCTTTCCCCAGGCTTGATAAACGAAAGAATGTTGGACTTAACTATTGGTAGTGTCTCCATTAATGAATAGGGGAGTCTGGAGAAAACACGTGAACAGGAAATTCAAGGGCACCTAGTGTTGTTTTTATCAGTCCAGGAATTGTAGACTTGCAAATTGTATCCTGTTCTTTTTCTGAGGAAAGAAAGAGCTTTAGTAATAGACAAAGAACAGTGTTAAATCCATTAGAGGAATAAATTTGCAATATAATAAGTGCCACTCCTCTAGATCATTCTTTGTAATAATTTGGTCACTTCTGTTCTTGGTTTTGTTTAATTTGGAATTTTTAAAGCCTATTTTGTCTGGCTGGAAGGAAAGAATTTTTTCTTCTTTTTAAGGCTACTTTCTAAAAGATATTATTTAATTGAGATCAGGGGTTGGATATTTGCTTTTTCTGTAATTGTATCCCTCAAGTAGGATTTGTTTCTGAACGTTAACATAACACTAATGATTCTGTAGTTTTTAATCCAAAGGAAACTATTATATGTGAAAATATAATTTAAAATCCATTAGAGTTGAGTTGTTATCATCATTTACTGAATGCCTACTGTGTGGTCAATACTTTGGGAGTTGTTGAGTAGACACAGGTTTTGCTCTGCTTTGGTTTTTAAACAAAGTATATATTTGCAGGTATGTATGTATAACTAGAATGGAAAGTATTAATCATGATCAAATTATATAGTTGTGTGTGTGTGTGTGTGTGTGTGTGTGTGTGTGTGTGTGTGTATACACATACACATACATTCCATACATATGGAACTTGTTTTTCATTACTTGGTATCCACTTTGGGTTTTGGAGTTAAATTCATTACATCTTTTTTTTTTTTTTTTTTTTTGAGTGAGAAAGACAAAGTGCGAATGGGGGAGGGGCGGAGAGAGAGGGAGACACAGAATCTGAAGCAGGCTCCAGACAGCAGAGCTGTCAGCACAGAACCCGATGCGGGCTCAAACCCACGAACTGCGAGATCATGACCTGAGCCAAAGTCAGACGCTTAACCAACTGAGCCACCCAGGTGCCGTGCCATGTGACCTTTCTAAGCTTCAGTTCTTTATCTTGCAGGGCTGTTGTAAGGAGGAAATGCAGTCATGCATAGAAAGTGCCACTCTCTTGAATCCTCTGGAGGAAAAGGGGAGAAATCAGTGAATAAAATATCACAAAATTCCTGATAGGCACGACCATTCAGTGTATGTGAGTTGCCTTTGTTTATCGTGCAAAGCTAATTTGATTTGCTGTAGGCTGTGAAGAGACATGAATGATTTTAAACAAGTGACACAATCAACTTCTTGTTCTAAAAATCTTTAGAGTAGTCCACAGAGGAACAAGTTTGTGAGGCTAAAATAATAATGTTGTATTTGGACATAATGACTTTAAGACTCTTGTAGTACTTTGAGATGTAAAACCAATAAGAGGGCAGTGGAACTAGGAATTTGTCATAGGTAAACTTACTATTAACCTGCACTTGACTTGATTGATGTTGAAGAACAAGAAAGGTCTTTTGGTCCATTCCATTATCCCTGGAGTCTACTGCAGTTCAAATCCATACACAGAGGTCTGTATCTTCATGTAATTAGGGAGAGGTGGGTGTTGGGGTGTAGGTTGGGGGAATACTTTCCAGCTAACAGTGCAACGTTGGATGCTCACTGTTGGCAGTCTGCATCTTCTCTAGGTCTGTTATGATCTCCATCCAGATCAGCAAAAACCTCCTTAATGCATGGAACCATCCTAGTCTTTTTTGGTCCAGATGTAGACTGTAGTAGGCAAGTTTCTTATGGTCGGTGCCACCCACTGGTAGCAGCCATCACAGTTCAGTCTGTGCCCCCTGTGAAGCAGTCATTTTGCTACATTCCTTATCTTGTCTAATTGTCCAATTATCTTCTTCAAACCAGTACTATGTTTGGCTTGCCTGGTGGTTTTTCAAAGATGGCACTTGAGTGACTAAGTAGACCGCAAGGCCCAGTTAAGGCCACAGAACATCCCTATTGTCACCTGGCTTGATTCATACATTTCTGTTTTCTGCCTGGTTCAAATGAGTATCATTTGAAAATGAAATGGACCTTATAGTCTGCAGTCGTATACTGGACCTTGTTGTAGAGCTATTTGAAATGACATAGAATTCAGAATGAAATAGGGCACCCTGGACTCCATCCAAAGGGGGCTTGTTTTGAAAAGTTGTTTTCCCATAAAACATATACATAAGAATTACTTCAGACTGATTTTGTGTGCATATTTGATCCACTGCTTCATGTTTCATAGAATTTATATTCTAGAAGTTGCTTCTTACTATTTAGCTGAACTACATTAACTCTTAGGAGACTTAACATTGAGTGCAGGCATATGTATTAGTCAAATCTTGTGGATTTTTTTGCAGTGATCAATAAAACAACAACAAAATACATCGAACCTTTCTTGTTCTGAATGCTTGTTGACTACAGCCTTTTGTATAAAATGTGTCCATGTTGTGTGTGGATTGGTGCTTCCTTACTCTTATTCATCCCTGGTTTTGCCAACACAAAATTAATTTCTATTGCTTTGGAATAGTGTATCTTCCTCTTTCTTTACTAGCACTGTCTTCTTTATAATGTGGAAAACTTGGATGTTTTAACTGTTAAGGTAAAGTTTTGCTTCGTAGGAATTAAACTGTCTCCAGAGTTTACTATGAGGGATAGAAAGTGTTTTTCTACTGAACAATTTGTGTTTATATGTTGTTTCAGTGTCTGTTACTATGGCAATGACGGCAGGGACTGCAGCCTCCTTTCCTATGAGCAACCATACCCGGGAAAGAGTGACTGTGGCCAAGCTCACATTGGAGAATTTTTACAGCAATCTAATTTTACAGCATGAAGAGAGAGAGACCAGGTATAGTAAAGGCTAATCAGAATTTTCTGTTTGGTTTAAGAAGCTCTTATGCTGCAAGTGGAGTGTAAACACATTGTCCATTAATAATATGAATATTGTGGGTCCCTGTATGCTGTTTTTAGGTTTCCTCTACTGACAGTGCCTCTAATTATCTTAACAGAATGGTTTCTTGTCCTCTGCACCCATATCCTTCTATCACATGTCAATGATATTTTAAATAAAACATTCCCAGCTGTGAAATTATAATATATCCTTATACTATAGGAATAGTTAATTCTAATCCAAAAGCATGTATAGTGGGAATGAGGGTGGAAGAATAAAAACATTAATGACATGTTATTCTGCCTTCAGAAAACTCTATTAAGGCAGGTAATGCACATAAATATTACATGACAGTGAGAAGCATCACTAAGAGAAGGTCAAAGAAGGCAGAGATTGCTTTTGAGTAAAGCAACTGGGAGGGCTTCATAAACGGTGGTGGCATTTATCAGAGCTCTTAAGGAACAGTATTAATCATACATGCAGAAAAGGGAGAAGGAAGAGATAAAAGAGCAGGAGGAAGGATATTACAGACAGAAGAAATCACCTTCAGTGCTGGGTCAAGCAAGAGCCAGTTTAGCTCATGCTGGATTTCAGCATTTCCTGGGACCCTTGACTGCTTTGTTAATGTAGATATCCTCATGGGAGTAGAGAGCCTTGATTTTTGAACAGAATCAGTGATCATGGGTGTTTCTCTAGAGGAGTACTTTAGTTGTGATGTACAGAATGGATTGTGGGTAGAGAGAGAAGGAACAGGAAAGGCTAATGATGTAGTCCCAGCGTGTGGAAAGGAGGCTTGAATTAGGATCATGACAACAACAGTAGAATAGAATTTAGAAGTGAGAAAGATTGACAGAAGTGGCGACTAGCCAGAGACGAAATGTCAGATAGGTCTAACTACATATCAGACAGGCTGAACAGAGAATTGAACTAGAAAATAAAACTTCAATAATTATTCAGAAGTCAACTGGAGACACAGAGTAGGAACATATGAAGGAGAGTTAAATATGGAGCAGAGTAAGGAAAGCTAACATATCTTTAACCAAAGTTCCTAAAGGAGGAGAAGAAAGGGGTTGGAGCAGAGGCAGGTTAAACTAAGAGTTCACCATTGGCAGAACTTCCAGAAGATTCAATTTAGGCTGAAGGAAAGTGATCACAAACAGAGCTAAATATAAATGTGTGGATAAATCTCAACACAAATTGTGTGAAAAAAAAAACGATGATAAAGTCTTATACATTTTTTAAAGTAGATTAAAATATTTCCCAATGATAGGCTCTCAGTCAGGAGGGAAGTCAGTGGAATTAAAGTGTTGCTAGAGATCTGTGTATCTCCATGGTAGAGATACGACGTACAGAGGGGTAAAGATTGATTCATTTCAGACTAACAGAGTTTGTAACTTCCAAACTAATGAAAGGAAAATAATGAAATGAGGAAAACAAAACCCCAGTTGAAAATAAGGCGAGGGAAAAAGCAAAGCTGAAACGCCAAAAAGTCGACACAAATAGAGACCACGCAATCAGTTAGAAATGAATGCAAACATATGAGTAATTACATTAACTGTAAATACAATGAAAGTCTCTGGAAATGATCCAGTCGCCAAGGAGAGTAAACGAAGTAGAAGAGAACCAGGGAAAGAAAGACTACTTTTTTAGGAAGCAGACACTTAAGTTATGCATCAGAATTTTGAAGGCTTGTTGTCTTTTCTTGATGAAATCTTTGAGTAATTCAGTTTTGCCCTCTATGTCCAAACAAAGGAAAGTAAAAATAAAAGTATCTGCTGTAACTTAAAAAAAAAAAAAAAAAAAAAAAAAAAAAAAAAAAAAAAAAAAAAAAAAAGGCAGTTGCAGCTTGGTGCCATGGAAATCATATTAAACAGTCAGCTCGTATTTATTAAAAGCTTGGACTTTACGATTACATGTGATAAATTTTTAAGGCTTAACTAACTGGATAAATACATAAGCCAAATAGAGTACCAATCAGAACAAAACATCAGAGCATTTAGGAAGAAAACTATTTTCTTTGAAAGGTGCACAGGAAGTCACAGGTCTTCTCGTTTAGATATGGTGGAAACGTACAAAGGCTACTGCCTCTCTCTCCAGAGTCAGGGATAATTTCATGAAGAGTTGGTTTTGGCAAGGATTGAGGAAAGGGGTCAGTAGAGATGTGACAGAAGAGTGAAGCTGCTTGTATATTGATAGGCCGTCCCAGATGAATGGTCCCTTACACTGTGGATTCTCTCTACAGAGGAGAAAGCTCAAAATCATTCAGCAAGCAGCCTTGCAGCTCCCAGAGGGGCATGGTAGCAGGCACAGAGCTTCTGTGGTTCCATTCTAAGGGTTGGGCTTAGAAGAACAGTGTGTAAATAAAAGATTAAAATCAGTATGATAAGCACCAAGATGTCTATTACAAATGTTGACGAAGTAGGCAGAGATCATGTCATTACGTGTTGTTGCCATTGGGGTGCTGATCTATGAACAGGCTTTAGATATTTTTGTTATGAATTTTCCATAAGAATGGTGGGTTAGGAAAGTGCCTACCTTCAGACATGTTATCGTAAAGGACAAATACTAAAAAATGTATTTGATGATTTCAATCCTCAACCCTTAGATACTCTCCCATGTAGTTAAATCCTGGAAAGTCAGTCCTATTCTAACATAGTCCAACACCAATTAGGAAGAGTACTCTCAGGTTCATATTCAGGAAAAACCAATATGATAGAAATAAAATGCTTAATATTCTGTTGGAAATGAGCTGCAAAATTTGTATCAGAGCCATCTCCCTAGTTCCTAGTGACTTAATTCATCCAGTCATCCCGCCTTCCTCCCCATCCCCACAGTGCTTAGTTTCACTTACTTCAGTGGTGTCATTTAAAAACAATGAGTACCTGAACTTGACTGTACCTAGAAAAGCAAATGTTCTGGTGGTTAGTGGGTTTTTTTATGTACATATATGACTCCAGTTTTCAAAGAATTAGAATAAAATACACTCAATTGCATTGAACATTTTTCTTGATTAGGAAATCAAGCTTAGACTTGAAATGAAGGACTTACACAAGCTCAGTTAGCTAATAAGCTATTAGAATTGGGATTCAAACAGGGATATCCACCTTAAATATTTATACTTTTAGTCACTATAGTTACCTTTATATACTTCCAATATAAATATTGATAAATGTTAATGATTTTGGTGGTTTGAATATTAGATAACAGATTTTCCTTATTAGAACATTAGTCATCTTTGCTAATCATTGATTTAAGCAGCATTAAGAAGGAAATTTTTCATTTGGCCAGTATGAGAAAGTGATTTGAAATCTGGGTTGGGTTTAATTTTGAGAAAGAAAACTATTCTTAGTGATTATTTTGATTCATCTTTAAAGACTTTTTTTTTTTTTTTTAGCATAGCAAACTGAAGGGGTAAACTCAAATAAATAAGTGAACATTTCTTAAATGGGAATAGTTAGGAATGTATTTAAAATTTAAATTATTTTTTCTTTGAAAAGGCAGAAGAAATTAGAAGTGGCCATGGAAGAAGAAGGATTAGCAGATGAAGAGGTAATGTTAGCTGTAATTACTGTGACTGTAGGTAACAGTACTCTATACTTGAAAGTTGCTAAGAGCGGATCTTAAATGTTCACACTAAAAAAAAAAATTACTTATGTGAGGCAATGGATATGTTAACAAGCCTTTTTGTGGTAACCATTTTACAATATATATGTGCATCAAACCATCGCGCTCTAAGCTTGCGTTATGTCAGTTATATCTCAAGAAAGTTGGGGAGGGAAAGACTAATTACTGTATAATGGCAACCCCAGTGTCTTTGTCCTCTATTGATATCAGATGATTTTATAACTTAGGTAACATGGATTTCATCATTTGAATATGGGCTTCTTTGTTGCTATGATGGAGATCTTTAAAGAGGCAGCTTTTTTTAATTCCAAGAATATAGATTTAGTGAACAGTATCTATAGTGTCCGGAGAGCATGGAACAAGAAGAGAGGGCTCTAAGAAGAATCCGTGAATTGCCAAATCTTCTCACATTTTTTCCTGAATATATCTTAAAACCCTCTAGTTCTCTAGTCCAGTGCCTCTACCCTACTTTATTTTTTTTTTAAGTTTATTTATTTATTTTGAGAGAGACAGAGACAGAGACAGAGAGAGCACGTGAATGGGGGAAGGGCAGAGAGAGAGATGGGGACAGGGGATCCAAAGCAGGCTCTGTGCTGACAGCAGAGAGCCTGATACCGAGTTTGAGCTTGAACTCATGAGTCATGAGATCATGACCGGGGCAAAGTTGGACACTAAACCGACTGAGCCATCCAGGCGCCTGCCTCTACCCTACTTCAGACTACTGTGCAGTTCACTTAAAGAACAACTGCCCCCAGCTGGTGTCTTCCCACCTCCAGGTTTTCTGCATACACTATCCAGAGTTTCCTGTCTGAAAACAGGTTTGAGAGGCACCTGGGTAGCTCAGTCGTTAAGGGGCTGACTCTTGATATTGGCTCAGGTCATTATCTCCTGGTTACTGGGATCCAGCCCTGCGTCAGGCTTCAGGCTGACAGTGCAGAGCCTGCTCAGGATTGTCTCCCTCCCTCTCTGTTCCTCCCCTTCTCATGCACACGTGCACTCTCTCTCTTTAAATAAATAAACTTAAAAGAAAAATAAAGGGGCGCCTGGGTGGCGCAGTCGGTTAAGCGTCCGACTTCAGCCAGGTCACGATCTCGCGGTCCATGAGTTCGAGCCCCGCGTCAGGCTCTGGGCTGATGGCTCGGAGCCTGGAGCCTGTTTCCGATTCTGTGTCTCCCTCTCTCTCTGCCCCTCCCCCGTTCATGCTCTGTCTCTCTCTGTCCCAAAAAAAATAAATAAAAAAAAAAAAAAAAAAAAAAAAAAAAAAAAGAAAAAGAAAAAGTTTGATCACATCACTCTTTTGCTTAACACCCTTCATGGGCTCCCAAGTACTCTCAGATAAGGGTAGATCCTTGAACATTAATGTGCAAGACCCCTCACAGTTTGGCCTCTGCTTTGTCTCTTTCACCTCGTCTCTTGTCACCCACCTCCATGCTGACCACCAATATTGAGTTACTTTAACTTCCACACTCTTGCCTGTGGACCTTTCATCTGTTATTTCTGCCACTTAGAAGTTCCTTACTCCTGCCCAACTCCTCATATTCTTTAAGAAACTCTGGGTCTCGCTTTGGGCCTCAGTTCCACTGGGAAATCTTCCCTAATATCTTGGGGTACTCTTCCCACATTCTGCATTAACAGAATGTTCATGTGTCCATGTGTCTGTGTCCATGGGGCAGCCTAAAATATCTCCCCATAGTAGAAACTCCATAATGTCTTACTCAGCTATATACCTCCAGAGCTGGCAGGGGCTATAAGAAATAGTTCGTGAATAAATGAACAATGACCTTTCCCTCAAGGAGTTTACTGACTGGAAGGAGAGATCATGTACGTGTGTATATAAATATATGTATACATGATAGATTCTGGCAAACTTTAAAAATACAGGGATTTCCCCCCACCTAATTCAGGGGATCAGAAAAGGTTTGGGAAGAGGTAACAGTTGATTTGAATGTTAAAAAAAATAGGTAGATTTACGCAAGAATTAATAAATACATATAAAATAATGCAGAACAATGAACTATGAAGGATGCAGTAGAGGAAAGAGCACGGTAAACTGACACCATGTAGTGGAAAGGCTAGCCTTGGGATAGCTTACTGAGCCATGTACGCTTATTTTCTAGGCAGTAGGGGGGTACAACCTAGATTAATTTGCTCAACAGTTTCAATGATCAGAAAGGAAATTCTATGTTCAAAGAGCAGTCTCACAAATGATGACTTGAAAGCAGTTATTTAATCTTCTCTGTACCTTTCCTAGGACTTTACCTGTATTTTTCTGTTGGAAATGTTTAAGTGAAATAAAATATATTTAATGATTTGTACTACAGGTGGTTACTTTGTTAATCAGTTGACTCAACCTAGAAAATCTAAATTATTTACGTAAAATTACTATAATATTTTAAAAACTCATTTAATTTATATCCTTTACACTTTAAGTGAGAAAGGTAATGGTTTCGATCTGCATTATAACAAAAAAATAAGGCCAAGCACATCTGTCCGCACATTTATTTATTAGTATTAATAACTTTCTTATCCTTAATAATCATATAATTGTATTAATGTACATTGTACATCATTATATCGATACAGAAATCTCAAGCATAAGGTCCTAATTCAGAATTTAGAGGGAGAAATTATAAAAACAGATGCCCAGGGGCCAAGCAGATAACACAAATGAAGGAAGCTGGCCGGCTTTGTTTCGCGACATCTTAGGTTATATGTTCTTTTGACCCAACGCACTTTATCTGCATATTCAACTCCTAAGAATATTCTTTCACTTCCACAAAGAAATAGATTCTTTGTTTTTCTCTTTCTAAAATATTTGGTCCTCCGCGTTTATATTTTGATAGAGACATACCACCTTTCACTTTCCTAAAAAAGAACAGGAGCACCAGTCCAATTCTGCATGTCCCCTGATGCCTGGCATCAGTGGTGGATGCTGACAAGTTAGAGACCTGATGTCTATCAAAGGGGGAGTGACTGCCACTTTGGCTGAGTGTGGCAAAGTTCCTGTTTTTCAGGAGAAACTGGAAATCTGGACTTTTATGTGAAATCACCTGCTTTTTAAAATATCGACAAATAATTCAAGTGTCCTAAAAACAACTTGCAGGCCAAATCAAATATTTTCGAGGTTGAATACAGTTTGTAACTCTCAGTTTGCAACTGCTGGTCTGCACCAGGAAGTGCTGAATACATTTAGAAATATTTTTGGGGCGCCTGGGTGGCTCAGTTAGTTAAGTGTCTAAGTGTCTGACTTCAGCTCAGGTCATGATCTCACGGTTTGTGGGTTCAAGCCTCATGTTGGGCTCTGTGCTGACAGCTCAGAACCTGGAGCCTGTTTGGATTCTTTGTTTCCTCCTCTTTCTCTATCCCTCCCCCACTCCCACTCTGTCTCTCTCTCTCTCTCTTTCTCAAAAATAAATAAACATTAAAAAAAATAAAAACTGTTTTCCTAAATTCTTCTAAAGAACTTGTAGAAAGTGTCATATGATTTATACCTACAAATAGTGCCCTTTAATAACTATAAAATTTCTAACATTTTTCTGTGAAGATATTTTAATTCCACAAATGCTTATTATTAGGCCCATGCTAGGTCCTAGATTATGTCAAATTGTATAAAATAGACATCCTCTCTTATCCTTAATATAAAATATGTTGGAGCTATCATTATGTGGGGTGGATTTTTTAAAAATAAAATTGTTTTCTAAAAATCTAGTTTTAGGGGCACCTGGGTGGCTCAGTCAGTTGAGTGTCTGACTTCAGCTCAGGTCGTGATCTCGCAGTTTGTGGGTTTAAGACCAACATCGGGCTCTGTGCTGACAGCTTAGAGCCTAGAGCCTGCTTCAAGTTCTGTGTCTCCCTCTCTCGCTGCCCCTCCCCTGCTCAGTCTCTGTCTCTCTCTTTCTCAAAAATAAAACATTAAAAAAAAACTAGTTTTAAAATGAAAAGTAATATTTATCCCTAATTCATTTGTAATAGAAAATCTTGGTGAAGTAATTTGTGAAAGTTATTTGTAAAAAATAAACCATATAATGTGATCATGTGGAATGTCTCTGCAGAATTGAAGTTGCCAACTGAGCTCTTTCCTATCTCGGAACTTCTGTGTACCCTGTCTTATATAAAAACTGAACATCCCACAGATCAAGAGTTTGAGGAATTGAGGAGCACCCCCCCTTTTTTAAAAGTTTATTTATTTTGAGAAAAAGTGTGCAAGCTTGGGGAGGGGCAGAAAGAAAGGGAGAGAGAACCCCAAGCAGGCTCTGTGTTAGCACAGAGCCGGATGTGGGGCTTGATTTCAGGAACCTGAGATCATGACATGAGCCAAGATAAAGGGTCAGATGCTTAACCAGCTAAGCTACCCAGGCACCCCAGGGAACACTCATTTAAAAAGGAATGGAGAAAGGAAGAAAACGATGTATGTCTAATTTCATCTTACTTAAGAATTACCATCAGACATGCAATATTATTCACTCTCATGGAAAACCAAAACAGACAAATTTAAGCTGCTTTTAAAGGGAGCCATGAAATGTTAAATGTGTTTCCAGATTTTGTTGTCCTGTTTGGTGAGAAAGGATATGATTACCACAAAAATGTTACTTGTTTTTCAAGGCTGTTTAATCTACACAAGTCATGAACAGATATATCAATGTGCTTTTTCATCAATATATATATTTTTTAGCTTATTAAGTTTTTTATTTTAATTCCCAGTATAGTTAGCGTACAGTGTTGTATTAGTTTCAGGTGTACAATATAGCGATTGAACGATTCTATACATTACTCTGCTCATCATATCACCAATATATTTTTTTAACACTAGCTTGCTTCAGCTCCCTCCAGACTGCAACAGTGATTTTAAGACTAATAGATCATGAAATAGGTTTTTCATTTTTCTGTTTTTAAAAGTAACCTCACAATGTTATAGTCATGTCCCATTTTTGTAAAATTGTATGCTCTATATACTTGTAATTTTCCCTTTTTGCCATTAAACAGCTGTGCCCCAAACTATATAAACATTGTTTGCTTGCTGCATTACATGACCTATCAAATATTAGTGAAAATTATTTTCTTTAGTGGCCTCTCTTCTGTTGATTTTGAGCACAGTTTATTAAAGTATGTAATGAGGTCATCTTTTTCATTTAGATTAGACAAGTTTCTGAAACTACACCCAACTCTACTACATTTTATAGTCCATAAAGTCAACAGTCCAGAATGTCTTCTGAAATTCTTACATTTATTCAATTATATACTTAAAACAACCCCCCTAACCCTCCTTGCTGCTTTGAAAGACATGATACTATAGTGCCACCATGTGGCCTTTTTAAATTATAGTCTTTTTTTTTTTTTTTTTTTTTT